AGTGTGTGTGGGAAGGCGTTTGCACGTTCATCTGTTCTTATAACACACCAGAGTACACACACAGGAGATACACCCTTCAAGTGCAGTGTGTGTGGGAAGGCGTTTGCACATTCATCTACTCTTAAAAAACACCAGAGAACACACACAGGAGAGAAACCCTTCAAGTGCAGTGTGTGTGGGACGGCGTTTACACTTTCATCAAATCTTCATGTACACCAGAGAACACACATGGGAGAGAAACCCTTCAAGTGCAGTGTGTGTGGGAAGGCGTTTGCACAGTCACCACATCTTCAAAGACACCAGAGAACTCACAAGCATCAGAAGACCCACAAGGAGTGGAGTCTGAAATCAGCTTGTGGAAGTCAAAGTGGCGCAATGAGCCCATCCCTCATGAAACAAGAACCGGAAGAAAATCCAAGCTTGGACACTTTTAAAGGTATCGAGGTGAAATATGAAGAAGTGATGGTGAAGAGCGAAGAAGTGAAGGTAAAATGTGAAGATGATTCAACTCCAAAGTCGGACCGACACATTAATGGAGGAAACGTGAAGCAGGAGGAGAATTCTGACTGTGAGGCAGAGCGAGGCAATTCTCAGCAGTTTGTGGAAGTGGAGGTGTGGTTGGACTTCCTCCGAGACAATACAAAGTCAATTGGAGACCCGTTAGATGTGTAAGCTTGAGACGATGTCGCTCCAATAGATGCACCTTTGTCACAGGCCTTTAATGACAACAATGAAGTTGAACACTCAATTCCTAGGTTCAACCTGCAGGGTAAGAGCGGCCAGTCTTTGTGGACCTGTGGGTTGGGTAGATCTCTAACCATGAGCGAGAGTCAATAAGCTCCCAAGCATTCACAAGGTTCTAATTATTCCAATTATATGGTGGTTGCTTAATCGCCTCTGGCAATTCGGAGTTTTGTATCGTATCTTGTCTCAAACACTCGAAGAGCATCCCCAAATAGCACCTGCCCCTGTGTGGCACAAGGTGGTGGCCCTGCACTGGCCTGCATGTGGACAAGAGCCTGTCAGTAGGGGGTGATGGTTGATGTGGCATCTTGGTTGTGTAGTTTATAGGTAATGTTTAGAATTTGATACATTTTGACCCAGACGCCAGCATGCAATGGCCAACTCGTTTTGGCGCAATAGTATGTTGTACATACACTGTTAAGCAGACGGTGCATATTTTTTTAAAATAGCTTCTTGTTAATGCGATGTAACCTTACTCATTGGTTTTTTCGGTAAAGTCACATGTAGAAATACAATAAAATTATATTAAAACAAAACAATCACGACGTTTAGATCACAACACAAGCGATCTTCATCAGTTGTCAAGGACAAATCATGGCAAGAACAAATCATGGAGGTAAAAAGATGAGAGACGAGAATTTAACAAACCTAAAAAACATGTGAAGCATAACCAGTCAGGCCAACAACACAGACACTTCCTGGCGGACCATGAATTTCAGGAGTGTTAAATTTCGTGTTCAACTTCTGGATTGCATAAACCAGCATAGACAGAGTGAAAATACGAGGTACATGGTCAGTAGGAAAGACGGAGAGGCAAGGAGAGAGAGAGGTGAACAGAAGCTTAAATAGGAAATAAGGTTGGGGGGGGGGAGCAAAAGGAGAGTTGCAGCTCATCTTGCGGCAGCTCAAAACAGCACATCTTGCATATACACAAGCGGGGGGGGGGGGGTGGGAACAGGCTTGGGGTGCACCTGTAATTCAATTTTGTTCATATGCCTGTCAATAATTTAGAATTAATACTTGTATGATTGTGTGCATACATGTAACATTTTGTGTAAAAGGGTCAAACATTGAATAAGTGATGTTAAGACAAAGTGTGTGTTTTGGAAGTAACCTGTACAGATAACTCAGGTGAGACTCATTGTTCTTGTGATACAGGTCAAAGGGTATTTTATGTTTCAGGAAGCTTCTCTGGAGCAACTCATTGTCTTTGAAATAGGGAGCACACTCGGATCATTCATCAGTTACAAGGCATACCACTCAAAAGTTACACGTAGAGGAGATACATTCTCTACAAAACGAATTATAATTTTGTATTACGTGTTGATGTAGATTTTCTCGAATTAGGACAAGAAATGGTCCTTGCTGATTAACGTCTGGATGTTCACAACCATGGCTTGAAGCAAGCCAGATCGCCTGCGGTGCCCCTCACAACCATTTACGGCCTGGGGCCAGGAAAGTCACGAAAAAATTGCACACGAACGACGCCTCTACGCAAGCTCCCGATGCTCCGTTTTGAAGTTTTAAAATGAAACAACTTTGAATTGTATTATTTTGAATTAGATAATTGTATTTCTTCATTAAAAGCTTATTAATTGAAAACGATATTTCGTGTGAATTTTCTCGCGTCATTAAGTAGATGGCTTTGCCGGTGGTTTGGTTCGATGCGGACTTTCACCTGGTTGGGATCGCGGGATCGAGATGAGGCGACACAGAGCTGGCCGTGCGAGAAGACCGCCGTCCGCAAATTGATTCCAATGCGATCGAACGTCTGTCCCTGCGCCTCCATCGTTCATGCAGGGGATGCGTAGGTTTGCAGCGCCCCCTGCATGAATACGACGGAACGTGCAGCGTTAGTCACGAAGTTGTGCGTAAGCGCCACAACAAGGCGCTGTAAGCTGACCTGCCACCACGTTCACGGGTCAACAGGGGGCAGCCGAGAGAGAGAGTGAGGTGTGTACGGGTCGACCAAAGTAAACCCCCGCCCCCCCCCCCGTGACCGGAGAATAACATCCCTGACCCCCCACCCGTCTCTAAGGCCCCTTAAGATAAGACCTTCCAGAAGGTTTTGGGAGCAGGGGGGGGGGGGTTCAGGAGGGGAGGGGTGACCCCAACCTGGACCGGCCGGGCAGTGTTCACCAACTCAAGCCTGAAGACATCCGAAGACCTGAAGACTGGACCAGCACCCAGGGACCCTCAACCGAGGCTCTTGTTAGAGCCGGGTTGTAGCGGACCAGAGGTGAGCTCCCGTACCCTGGCAGGGACGGGTCGTCCAGTCTTCCCTTAACGCCGGGCTAAGGGACCCGTGTGTAGCAGAGCCCGGAGTGTGCAGGCTGCGATAGAAGGGAGGCTGTCACTCGCGTAGAATATCAAGTGGAAGGGGCCGTACTCCTTCGTGGTACAGTAGTGTGTAGAGCCGAGTTCGAAAGAGTTGTTATAATAAACGCGTTGCCTCAACCAGACGTCTCCGTGTGGTTAGTTAAGGACACAACACTTATATAAAAGTATAGCCAGTGCGTTTTCAAAGTACCTTCGTTTTAGAGAAATTAATTTCGTGTGAGCACACCGCATTAAAACAATTCTCAGCTGAGCAGGGCGAGCCACGGGGGTGGGGGGTCACCTTATCTTTGCCACGTGCCGTAGCTCACGTGACTTCTGCCGCGACAATGTCTGGATGTTTTCGCCTGAGGACGACCGCTCGTGTTGCGATAGAAACGTCGTGATTTATTTTATTTTTTCTACCTGCGTGACTTCACTCAAAGAACCAAAGAGTATGAAAGACGTTTTGTCTGCTGATCTTGTTCATATCTGTCTACATTGATATCCCACATTGCTTACACGTACACACCACATACAATGAAATAAATAGAAACTGGAACGACTTCCGGGGATGGGCAAAGATTGAGGAATCTCTTTCAATGGAGCGAGTTAAGTTTGTTCGATTCAACATCTCTCTGTCCATCTGTGTCTCTGTTCCCCTCTGTGTCTCTCTCTCGCTGACTGTGTCTCTGTCATCTCTGTATCTTTCTTTCTGTCTTCCTCTTGTCTGTGTCTGTCCACCTTTCTCTTGTCAGTCTCTGTGTGTGTCTCTATCAGCGTCTTTCCAACCGTATTCAACTACTGTCAGTAGCAACATGCGCCAATTCAACTTTCATGGCCCACGACTGCATGCGACTCAAACTTGCTCCGAGTCTCTGTGTGTACGTTGAACTTATTTCGCACCATACGTAGCGAACGATGCTAATCTGTTGGTCTCTGTGTGAGTCTCTGTGTGTATCTGGAACTTCTTTTGCACTGTACGTAGCTGAACCTGCACAGGAGGAGCGGCTGGTATCTGTGGAGCTGTGGGCTGGGTACATCTGTCAGCAGGAGCGAGAGACAATGAAGCTCCCAAGCATTCACTACGTTACCAACATCATATTTGCACTCATAAATCGCTTGCCTAATTGCCTCGGCAACTCAGTGTTTCGTATCGAATCTCATCTCAAACAAGCGAAGGACCCCCCCCCCCCACCCAAGTGGCAGCTGCCCCTGTGTGGCACAAGGTGGCCCTGCACCGGCCTGCACGTGGACATGAGTCTGTCGGTAGGGGGCGATCATTGAAGCGCCATCTCCGTTGTGTAGTTTCTGGATGTTTGGAATTACCCCAATTTTGACCCTGACACAAATATGCAATGACCTGCGCGTTGTGAATGACACAACGCTATGTTTTATAGCTGCCGTTAAGCAGACTGTGCATATTTTGGTGAATGTTACTGGGGTAGCCAGGTCTGTCTGTCGGTGTTGAACCTTGAATCTCTGCAATAAATAGAGAATGTGCTACCGTATTCTTGGTTCTTTCGGTAAAGTTACGTAAATTGAAAACAAATTTTTTGGGAAAATAATAAATTGATGAATAAATGCCATTGGTCGACTGACTTAGATGACTGGGCCCCCCACAGTGTGTACGTGTACACACAGTGTGTGTACACGTACACACTGTGTGTGTACACTGTGTGTGTTTGCACTGTGTGTGTGTACAAAGTGTGTACACACACACAGTGTACACACACAGTGAGAAGTACACACACACAGTGTACACACACAGTGTGCACACATACAGTGTACACACACACACAGTGTACACGTACACACAGTGTACACACACACACAGTTGTGGCTGAGCTCACACACCTAAGGGGTCTCTGATCAAGGGAGGGAGCAAGGGAAAATGAATCTAAATCAACTTAAACTCCAACCCCGCTCTGTGACGTCACCACTCAGCATTACCTCATCGGCGTGTAACGCCAGGGGGAGGTGTACCTCGCTAGTGACGTCATGTCACGAAGGTATTCATCCCACCCGGTCCACTGCGCCCTTGAGCGTGACGTCATCTCTGCCTGGGTCACTGCCCTTACCTATTGGGCAAAGCTACTCCCGGTGACTGGCGGCTCATTAACATAATATATTCATGAAAGCCGTCGCGAGTTTATTGCGACGAGTTCGGCACCCACGCCCACAGAGCCGCTCATCGTGGGAGGGGAGTGTTTTGTACCCCGCAAGTGACGTCATGTCAACTCCTGCTGCTGCGTGACGTCACGAAGTAACAGGAAGCTTCTGCTCCGCCGTGCACTGAAATCCGAGGTGAGACATTCTCATCGCGGTTGTGGTTGTGGTGGTTGTGGTGGTTGTTGTTGTGGTGGTTATTGTTTACCGAGGTAGAGCCTCGCTCTCTCTCGTAGGGATGTCAATTGAGTAGCAGCGAGCATGGAAGCGATGTCCAGGTTGGAAATTTACAGCACGGGGCCTAGCCACGCGGGGCCTTGCCTCCTGCCCTCGCCTGATCGCGTTTGCTTTAATTCTCTCGCTTAAGTTTAATTTGTCTTCACTCGGCTCGCCACTTTGTCACTTTGTTTTACTTGTTGTGGTGGTTGTTGTGGTGGTGGTTGTTGTTGTGGTGGTGGTTGTTGTGGTTGTGGTGGTTGTTGTGGTGGTTGTTGTGGTGGTTGTGGTTGTGGCGGTGGTTGTGGCGGTGGTTGTTGTGGTGGTGGTTGTGGTGGTGGTTGTTGTGGTAGTTGTGGTGGTGGTTGTTGTGGTGGTGGTGGTTGTGGTGGTGGTTTAGTTTTCATAGTTTTCATTTATTTGGTATAGCCCTGTGAGCCATTTCGGCTCTTGAATCGGGTGCAACTGCAACAAACAAAAAAGCAAAAACATGAACAAGGAAACATCTTAAAGTGACTATGTGACTGTGCAAACTGAAAATCCAGAAAAAAATATCAAAATATTCCTGAAATAGCACCGTATACCAACGCTGTGTGCAAAAATCCCAGTGGGATGCAAGTCAAACAACAACAAGAAAACTTAGATTAAGGCCATCAGTCTAACTCCGTACTACAATAGACAAAAACGAGGCCAAACCAAAAAACTTTTAGTAATCACCAAAATAAAGCCATAAATGCAATGTAACAGTGATCATAGGAACTGTGACCAAATTTTTAACAATAAACTACATAAATAACATGTAACGCCAAACCCTAGAGCCACAGCTGGCTGCATGAGTCACTCCACAAACAACAGGAGCATCAGTCGGAGTATCACATTTTTCAATGCACCTTTAAGATCAGCACACTAAATCAAATACAGATAATACTTTGCAGTGGTCGTCCGGAGCAAAACATTTTATTTTATTTTAGGCCACTGAGTAGCAGTGGCAGCTAGAGGTGTACAACTCCTCTAGAGCAGTTTTAAGTGAAGATCTCATAGGTAGTGATTCAAGTTGCAGTTTATTGGCAATAGTGGTGGTGGTTGTGGTGGTGGTTGTTGTGGTGGTGGTTGTTGTGGTGGTGTTTGTTGTGGTGGTTGTTTTGGTGGTGGTTGTTGTGGTGGTAGTTGTGGTGGTGGTTGTTTACTGGTGTAGAGCCTCGCTCTCTCTCGTAGGGATGTCAATTGAGTAGCAGCGAGCATGGAAGCGATGTCCAGGTTGGAACTTTACAGCACGGGGCCTAGCCACGCGGGGCCTTGCCTCCTGCCCTCGCCTGATCGTGTTTTCTTCAATTCTCTAGCTTAAGTTTAATTTGTATTCACACGGCTCACCACTTTGTCACTTTGTTTTACTTGTTGTGGTGATTATTTTGGTGGTAGTTGTTGTGGTGGTTATTGTGGTGGTTGTTATGGTGGTGGTTGTTGTGGTGGTGGTTGTTGTGGTGGTTGTTTTGGTTGTGGTGGTTGTGGTGGTTGTAGTGTTGGTGGTGGTTGTGGTGGTGGTGGTTGTTTACCGAGGTAGAGCCTCGCTCTCTCTCGTAGGGATGCCAATTGAGTAGCAGCGAGCATGGAAGCGATGTCCAGGTTGGAACTTTACAGCACGGGGCCTAGCCACGCGGGGCCTTGCCTCCTGCCCTCGCCTGATCGTGTTTTCTTCAATTCTCTAGCTTAAGTTTAATTTGTATTCACACGGCTCGCCACTTTGTCACTTTGTTTTACTTGTTGTGGTGATTATTTTGGTGGTAGTTGTTGTGGTGGTTATTGTGGTGGTGGTTGTTGTGGTGGTGGTTGTGGTGGTTGTTTTGGTTGTGGTGGTTGTGGTGGTTGTAGTGTTGGTGGTGGTTGTGGTGGTGGTGGTTGTTTACCGAGGTAGAGCCTCGCTCTCTCTCGTAGGGATGTCAATTGAGTAGCAGCAAGCATGGAAGCGATGTCCAGGTTGGAACTTTACAGCGCGGGGCCTAGTCACGCGGGGCCTTGCCTCCTGCCCTCGCCTGATCGCGTTTGCTTCAATTCTCTCGCTTAAGTTTAATTTGTCTTCACACGGTTCGCCACTTTGTCACTTTGTTTTACTTTTAAATATTCACGCAGTTTTTATTTCGTTCTTTTTTACCAGGCCAAGCCCGCTTGAGCTGCTGTACCGCTTTTGTTTTCGGAAGCGACCTGCCCACAACACAAGGTGAGGCTCGTCAACAGCGTGGCGGTGTTCACTCTGGACGCGTGGCGGTGTTCACTCTGGACGCGTGGCGGTGTTCACTCTGGGTGCGTGGCGGTGTTCACTCTGGGCTCGTGGCGGTGTTCACTCTAGACGCGTGGCGGTGTTCACTCTAGACGCTTGGCGCTGTTCACTCTAGACGTGTGGCGGTGTTCACTCTAGACGCATGGTGGTGTTCACTCTAGACGCATGGCGGTGTTCACTCTAGACGTGTGGCGGTGTTCACTCTCTGCATGTGGAGTGGGGACAACCGGGGGATCTGGAGGGAAATCCACGCGGCCACAGGGAGAGAGAGACACGTAAACTCCAAATATACAGCAGGCGCCAGGGTCGGGATCCAACCCACCACTTCCTGTATGCCAGGAGAGGTAGTTAACATCTCACCACATGTAGAGAGAGACATGCAGCCTCGGCAATGTTGATTGATCTTCAATTAATTACTTGGTGGAGTAAGGAAGCATTAATACTGAGAGGATGAAGGTGGCCAGGCATGCGTCTGGACACACCACCAACTGTTTACCATGCCAGTGTGTGACAGGGTCAAGTTTGTATTTGCAGTAAAGTCTATTAACTCTATTTAGCATGGAGGTTATATCAAAACAATAGTTTATTTTTGTTTTCCTTCAAGGACATCTGTGCCTGGCTTCACACCTCTAAGTTGCGATTTAACATTAATTTATGCATTTCTGCATAACACAAATAGTATTATTTTCCACACCCTTTGCTATGTCAGCTGAATTTAGCTTTCATAAATGTTCCTTTTGAAGCCAGACATCCGAAATTGTGTGCTCGGAGTTTTGGGTTAACATTCATTTTGAAGATACGAGGGCTTCCAGGCACGTTTATGACCATTTGCCCTCTCATTGTGTGCCATAACAGCCCGTTTGATGAATGTGGGACACTTTTTCACTATAAAATGAACATATGAATAAGTATAGACATGTAAGTCACGTGTGACTGTGTGTATGCATTCCTCTGTACATCGATACTGACGTGTAGATGGTGTGGATATAATTTTTTTCTGTCTGCAGCTGACGCTTCCTCTGTCGCTTCCTCTACAGAATTTATCTGATGGAGAAAAGGCACTGGGCGCAGCTCGGTGCAACAAGGCGACAATGCGACCGGTGTGCATTCAGCACGGATCGTCCTGACCGTTTGAGACGGCACCAGAGAACTCACACAGGAGAGAAACCCTTCAAGTGCAGTGTGTGTGAGAAGGCGTTTTCACAGTCACCAAATCTTCATGTACACCAGAGAACACACACGGGATATAAACCCTTCAAGTGCAGTGCGTGTGGGAAGACGTTTACACTTTCTGCAAATCTTCAAAGACACCAGAGAACTCACACAGGAGAGAAACCCTTCAAGTGCAGTGTGTGTGGGAAGGCGTTTGCACAGTCATCTGCTCTCGTAACACACCAGAGATCACACACGGGAGATAAACCCTTCAAGTGCAGTGTGTGTGGGAAGGCGTTTGCACGTTCATCACATCGTCATGTACACCAGAGAACACACACAGGAGAGAAACCCTTCAAGTGCAGTGTGTGTGGGAAGGCATTTACACGTTCACAAAGTCTTCATGTACACCAGAGAACACACACGGGAGAGAAACCCTTCAAGTGCAGTGTGTGTGGGAAGGCGTTTGCATATTCATCTTCGATTGTAAGACACCAGAGAACACACACGGTAGAGAAACCCTTCAGGTGCACTCCGTGCGGGATAGTGTTTGCACTTTCATCAAATCTTCATGTACACCAGACAACACACAAGCATCAGAAGATCCACAAGGAGTGGAGTCGGAAATCAGCTTGTGAAAGTCAAAGTGCCGCAATGAGCCCATCCCTCATGAAACAAGAACCGGAGGAAAATCCCAGCTTGGACACTTTTAAAGGTATCGAGGTGAAATATGAAGTGGTGAAATGTGAAGAAGTGATGGTGAAGAGCGAAGAAGTGAAGGTAAAATGTGACGATTCAACTCCAAAATCGGACCTTCACATCGATGGAGGCAACGTGAAGCAGGAGGAGAATTCTGACTGTGAGGCAGAGCGAGGCAACTCCCAGCAGTTTGTGGAAGTGGAGGTGTGGGTGGACTTCCTCTGAGACAATACAAAGTCAAATGGAGACCCAGTAAATGTGTAAGCCAGAGACGATGTCGCTCCAATAGATGCACCTTTGTCACAGGCCTTTAATGACAAGAATGTGAAGTTGAACACTAAATTCCTAGGTGCAAATTGCAGGGGAAGAGCGGCCAGTCTTTGTGGATCTGTGGGTTGGGTAGATCTCTAACCAGGAGCGACAGCCAATAAGCTCCCAAGCATTCACTATGTTCTAATAATTGCATTTATATGGTGCTTGCTTAATCGCCTCTGGCAATTCAGAGTTTTGTATCGTATCTCGTCTCAAACACTCGAAGAGCATCCCCAAGTAGCAGCTGCCCCTGTGTGGCACAAGGTGGTGGCCCTGCTCCGGCCTGCATGTGGACAAGAGCCTGTCAGTAAGGGGTGATGGTTGATGTGGCATCTTCGTTGTGTAGTTAGTAGGTAATGTTTAGAATTTGCTCAATTTTGACCCAGACGCCAGCATCCAATGGCCTCATTTTAAATGGCGCAATAGTATGATGTACATACACTGTTAAACGTATTTTTTTTAAAATAGCTTCTTGTTAATGCGATGTGAACCTGATGCAGTATATTTCACTGCAGTAATTCGATTTTGTGAATATTCCTGTCAATAATTTAGAATGAATACTTGTCTGATTGTGTGCGTACATGTAACATTTTGTCTATAAGGGTCAAACATTGAATAAGTGATGTTAGGACAAAGTGTGTTTTGGAAGTAACCTGTACAGATAACTCAGGTGAGACTCATTGTTCTTGTGATACAGGTTAAAGGGTATTTTTGTATTTTCAGGAAGCATCTCCCTCTGGAGCAACTCATTGTCTTTTCAAGTAGGGAGCACACTCGGATCATTCATAAGTTAGAAGGCATACCACACAAAAGTTACATGTAGAGGAGATACATTCTCTACAACACGAATTATAATTTAGTTTTACGTGTTGGCGTAGATTTTGTCGAATTAAGACGAGAAATGGTCCTTGCTGATTAACGTCTGGATGTTCACAACCAATGCTTGAAGCAAGCCTGACTGCCTGCGGCGCCCCTCACAACCATTTACGGCCTTGGGCCAGGAAATTAACGAAAAAAATTGCACACGAACGACGCATTCACGCAAGCACCTGATGCTCTGATTTGAAGTTTGAAAATGAAACAACTTTGAATTGTATTATGTTTTGAATTATATAATTGTATTTCTTCATTAAAAGCTTATTCATTGAAAACGATATTTCGTGTGAATTTTCTCTCGTCTTTAAGTAGATGGCCTTGCCAGAGGTTCAGTTCGATGGGGACTTTCACCTGGTTGGGATCGCGGGATTGAGATGAGGCGACACAGAGCTGGCCGTGCGTGAAGACCGCCGTCCGCAGATTGATTACAACGCGATCGAACGTCTGTTCCTGCGCCTCCATCGTTCATGCAGGGGGTGCGTAGGTTTGCAGTGCCCCCTGCATGAAAACGACAGAACGTGCAGCGTTAGTCACGAAGTTGTGCGCAAGCGCCACAACAAGGCGGTGTGAGCTGACCTGCCACCACGTTTATGGGTCAACAGGAGGCATCCGAGAGAGAGAGCGAGGTGCGTAGGGGTCGACCAAAGTAAACCCCTGGCCCCTGTTGTATATGTGGGTTATGAAAATTTGAGCTTCCCGGCTAAGGTCTGGTTTGTACGCTCCACCATCCCATTCGCCTGGGGGTGGTATGCCGTAGTTTGGTCCTTCTGGATTCCGAACTCCCGGCACAGCGCCTGAAATAGCTCTGCCTCGAACTCACTACCCTGGTCAGTAATGACTCGTTCAGGGATCCCATGTTAAAGTACGTATTGTTCCACAAATGCTCTGGTGACCACAAGGGCCGTTTTATCTGGGATGACCACCGCCACTGGGTAGCGCGTGAAATACTCCACCGCCACGAGGATATACCGGTTGCCTCGGTGTAATCGTGGGAATGGCCCCTGTAGGTCGATCCCAACTAGCTGGTTCACCCGTCTGACACGGATCGGACTCAGGGACACCTGATACTGCACCGGTTTCTGCCCACACTGCTGACAAGCGCGGCAGCCCTGTACCCAGGTGGCCACATCTTGTGCCAGTTTGGGCTAGAGATACTGGCGACGCAGGGTCTCGCGAGTGCGCCGTTGCCCATCATGGCCCCCTAGCGGGTGATCATGCACCAACCGTAGCAGCTGGGGCCGCACCTGGGCGGGAACACAGATGCACCCTGGCTGCCCGGCTTCGGTTAGTTCCCGCACCACTCCGTTCTCTACACGCAACCGGGCATACAAACCACTCCAGGGTCCCTGCAGGGCGACCTTTTCCTCCCGCAGGGCCGCCTCCGCCGCCGCCAGGTCCGGGTCCCGCCGCTGGGCCTGTCTCAGCTGCTCGTGATCCAGGCCCGGGAACGCACAGCCGACGTCCTCTTGGATCTCACCGGGTGAGGCGGAGCGGCCCGTCGGGCCCCGGGATGTGGGCCCCGTGCCCGCCGGGCGGTCCACTGGGTCCCTGGCTCCTTCTGCAGGGACCTCCGTGGCACACACGGCACTTTCTCTCAGCGGAGGGGGGTTAGTCTCAGGGCGCTCCAGGGGGGCCGTTGCCTGTCGGCAGCGTCCCCCCGTGAAGTACGGGCAGGCCTCCTCCACCCTCGTCACGGCGCACACCGTGGGTCACCTTGACAAGGCGTCCGTTTTTGCGTGCGTCCGCCCTGCCCTGTACTCGATCTGCAGGTTATACTCCTGCAGCTGCATCAGCCACCGGGCCATCTGCCCCCCGCTGTTCCTTGAATGTGAGGAGAAACTGCAGAGCATAATGGTCAGTTCGCACGCGACATTTCCTGCCGTACAAATACGGCCGGAACTGCTTACACGTGAAAATCACGGCATACAGTTCCTGACGGGTCACGGAATAATTCAGCTTGGCACCGCTCAGGGTCCGGCTGGCGTATGCGATGACCCGCTCCGTCCCACCCTGCACCTATGACAACACCGCGCCCAGCCCACTGCTGCCGGCGTCAGTGTCCAAAATAAAATCGGTGGAAAAGTCAGGGAAAGCCAGGGTGGGGGGTATGGGCGAGGTGGTCCTCCGTCCACTGATAGGGGTTCCTAGTGGAAGTGAGTTGGGTGAGGGGGCATGCAATCTCGCCGAATCCCTTCACAAATCGACGACAATAAGTGGCTAGCCCCAAAAACGACCTGATCTCCGTCAGGTTCCTCAGTCTTGGCCATTCTACTACGGCGCGTACCTTCTCCTGGTCGGTGCGCACCCCTGCCTCACTGACGCGGTGTCCGAGGTACCCAACCTCGCGCTGCGCAATATGACACTTACGCGGCTTGAGCTTGAGATGGGCCGCTCGCAGTCGCTGGAACACCTCCCGTAACCTGGACCAGTGCTCAGACAGAGATCTGCTGAACACTATCACATCATCCAGGTAAATCAGGCACTGTTCCCACTGCAAGCCCCGCATCACCAACTCCATCAACCGCTGGAATGTCGCGGGCGCGTTGGTAAGTCCGAACGGGAGTACTCGAACCTCGAACAGCCCCATCGGGGTGGTAAATGCAGTTTTTGGCCGATCCTCCTCCGCCATCTCCACCTGCCAGTACCCGGACGCTAGATCGAGGGTGGAAAAGTGCCCGTGCCCCTGCGAGGCTGTCAAAGGTGTCATCGATGTGGGGTATGGGGAAGGCGTCGCTGAGGGTAACTGCGTTCAACTTTCGGTAATCAACGCAAAACTGGGTCGACCCGTCCTTTTTACTCATCAGCACTACCGGGGCAGACCAGGGGCTCGCTGAGGGCTGGATTATGTTTTCGCAGAGCAGATCCATGACTGCCTCTTTGATCTGGCCCCGTTCAGGTGCGCCCACTCGGTATGCGGGGAGTTTGATGGGTCGGGCGGCACCGATGTCAATTTGGTGCTTAACGAGGTCTGTCTGGCCCATGTCTGAATCGTGCTCACTGAACACGTCGGCGAACTCCCGCAACAACCCGCGCAGCCGATCGGCCTCCCCCTTAGGTAGATCCATCCGCCCAGGGTACAAGTAACGGGTCGAGAAGTGGGACGACCTCGGCTCGGGGAGTCGGGCCGACCCGCCAGGCCAGGTCCTGGTTGTCCTCGGGGCGGCCGGGGTCCTCAGCCCAGAGGGCAAACACCGAATCGTTAGAAGTGGCGCGCGTGCAGGGGGTGTACTGTGGCTACCGTGGTGCACCGTCGCAGCATTGCCGGGGTACTGTGTGGGTTAAACACCCGCATAAACAGTTGGCCCCCGTCCGCGTTTACCAGCGTGGCTGATCCCACCACTCCGTACCGCACTGCCAACTCCGGGTG